CTTCCTCGGTACCGAGATGTACCCCCTCGTCCAGGATGTCGTTCTCTGCTCCAGCAGAGACTATTGATGCACTGGTCACTAGCCTAGGCTAGGCTAGGTTAGCTATCATGACCTCGTCTTACACAATTGGTGTCAGAAGGCACAGGAAGGCAGGGGCCACAGCCAATGAGGAATGGACGCGTGGCATATTGTGTCACATCAGAGACAGAAAGACCGCATGACCTTGCTGACATGCGACTTGGGAAGACAAACATTTAATTACACCATTCCCTTGATGAGACTGCATTTAATGCGGTAAGGCTCGAAAGTGAAAGGCAATAAATGTCTCTCAGGCTGGGCATTTATTGCATCCTCCCCGAGAGGAGCTCATTGAACCGTCGGCGGCCCGATGACACAGTCTTGATTGCTCGGGGTCCCGAGCAGTTAAAAGAGAAGACATTCCTCATAGGAATCAGTGCGCACGTTGCCTGTATCTAATGATCACCTACTGACCACACTGACAGCAATCATGAGTATTTGAGGTATAAATACTCCTCACTAAAGGCAAGGAAAGGCAGGTGAAACCTTTGCTACAAATTATACTCAGTGTTTTCTTCTTCCTCTCTCTAAAAAACTGACTTGATTGTCGGAGGGGATACGCCGGAAAACACTCCGACGCCCTTCTAACTTGTTTTTCTTTGTTCCAGGAACCTTTCTTCAGCCTTACTGGATCGTTTCTTTGATCCGCGAGGGTCTCCCATTACCGTTCCAGGTTACCACCGGACTTCACAGGCTGTTCCAAGTAGCGTGGTTGACCACTCAACAGACTCACTCGAGTTCACCAAGGGAGAGATCTGTTCTCGTTTTTATATTGTGCAAGATCTAGCACACACACCGTTCTTCTCATTCAACTCTTCTAGTCTTGACTTTGTTTCTAATGGACCCCATTTGTATCATTCCTAGCAACCCTGCATATGTCGACCAACCAAGTAGATGTAATTCTATCAAAAATTGATGCAAATATGTTAAAATAACTCAGTTATATATCAAAATAACAAATTTAACATTGGATTTCATTATAATCGAATTCAATTCCAGTCTAAATCAAACATTATAAATATTGATATGACGGTCTTGCTTGGTATAACTTAGATACAATCTCTCTCTCTCTTCCTCTCTCTTTCATATAGTAGAAGTTTCTTGTTCTTTGACGGGACATGGATTCATTTTTTGACATAGAAATGGGCATACAAGAAGCACATGCAATAAGTGCTTGCAAAGTCAAAATTCTTTAGCAATATTGTCAAAGCTGATAGGCTTATACCAAATTTAGGGCAATTGTCCCCTAAAATCTGCAAACCCCCTTTTTATTATGACATTAATATGAATATTTTCAAACTATATAAACAAGTAAACCGAATTTCTTAAAAATGTATGTATAAGATTGTCCCTTAGACTTCTAAATTCCTAAATCCATCGCCATTGGTTAGGGACTTACCAATCGATGCCCTCAAGTCCTCAAGTGTGACATAATTTGTTTTCTCTTTCTTACAATGGGGAATTGTTCCATTTCATATAAATCTTTAGACTCATCACTACAATTCAAAAATCAAATAGTTAGAAGGATTCACGAGTTTAGACTTTGATAGCATATGAAAGAAGATAATAAAAAATAAATAACAATTGTATATTATTTTGCTATAATTTATTATATACAGGAAGAGATTTATTTATAATATAAGAGAGTAATGAAGTTTCCTTATTGACATGGGATAAATATATAAACGTTGTAGACATTAACACACGTAATCATCCACAAACCACAACTATGGGTTGAAAGAACTTGGGTTTTATGTAAATTATGGAGTTTTAACTCAAGATGTGCAGATTTACGTTTTGCCCTTTATTGGACTATAATACCAACCCGAACGGGTTAGAAAAACAATTCTGACATTGACGTAACATATAATTAATTTGTAGCCATATTATTTTTTAGGTCAGAGGGCCCTCCATTGTTTTAGGAGGCAATGCACAATATCAATATTAGTTGTATTCGTCACTTGTTCTTGACCTTGTAAACAGTGTGAATGGATCAAGTCTTGGCATTAGGTATAGTCTTAATTTGAATGTATATATTCCTTGTCTAATTCATCACAATGGCTAAAAGTCACAACCTGAAAATCCTCAACCATCGTGTTCCACCGTCATACAATGGATTTTACACAAAAAAAATGGCACCACTACCAGTACTAGTAGTAGACTAGAAGTAATAATAATGCAAAATTCATAGTTCTTTATAACTATACAGTATGAATGCATTATAATTGTTGGATTAACATCGAGTTCTAATGTTTAATGAAACTTACAGTCAATCCCAGGGCTATAGTGAATTATATTTACAGGGTCCCGAGGTTTTTACAATTAACAATTAGAGCCCCTTTAAGCATGGATAATTACAAACATAATCCCCAAAGCAACCACCAATTTGCTGTAACTGCTCAAATTTTAATGCATACCTCACAAGCGTTTGGTAAGTCCCAATCAAAGACAAGTTCTACCCAGGACACGATCTGAAATAGAAGATTAACTAAACAAAATTCTAAGGAGAACATGATCCTTCTAGAAGTAAAAGTTTAATGGTCGAACCAAAGTCATCAATTAAAAATTATTTTTAGTTGTAATTTTTTATTTCAATCAATTATAACTCTGTACATTAAAAAATAACAAGAAATAATAAAATAAAAAAGTAAACACAAAATCATATTTGTTTTTAGATAAGAAATGAATGTATTGGTGGAGGTTAAGAATAAAGACACTCTTCACAAAAATAAAATAAAAAAAAAAAAAACATTGTTTACATCACTTGCCTTGCCTCATGTAGGGCTGATGAGGCTCCTTGTCAGGACATTTCGTTGTTTGTTTACTTAAATAGATTAATGTTTCCATTCACTAGTAATAGAATCATCTCACATTCTAATGTACACTGCACTTAGACCAACAATATCATTCTAGTATATTAGTAAGGGGTGTCATTGCACTGTTTTAAGTATCTATTAATACCGTCAAGTAATACTTTTTCCAAGTAGTTTTTAACGAAAAAATATATATTTTTTTAAAAAGGGATTAATTACACTGGAAGTCTCTAAAGTATGAGATTTATTTTATTTTGGTCCTTAATATTTTAATTACATTATTTTGGTCTATAAAATACTGAATATATTTCTATGTGGTCTCTCAAACAGACAACATCTAAATTACTAACGATTGTTTATCATAAACATATCACGTGATACCAAAATATAGACAAAATATAATGTGTAGCTCCTAACCAAATTTTGGGTAGCTCTTACAAAAAATATGTAATATGGCTAACTCTTGGCCAAAATTTGAATAGCTCATGATCAAAACTATGTTATTTTAGTAATTCTTGGACCAAAATTTGGGTATAAATTTGGTCTAAAGTTATCCAAAATATTTTTTGCTTATATTTAGGTATTATATGATAAGTTTATAATCAAAAATCATTAGCAATTTAAATGTTGTCTCTTTGGAAGATCACATAGAAACATATTCAATATTATAAGGACTAAAATGATGCAATTAAAATATTAGAGATCAAAATAAGATAAATTCCATACTTTGGGGGTCTCTAATGTAATTAACCCTAAAAAAACTGAGTAGTATGGAATGTGTTTATATGAAGTTGAATTTTTAATTTATAAAAACATAACAACATTTAAGATTGATCCATTTATTTTATCTACTTTTATCAAATAATATAAAATTTATCCGAATATTTTTTTCCCGCTTAAAAATTTTTTTTTGCATGGCCCCAATGTCGAATAATTCAACCAAAGACCATTCCAAAAGATAAATTTGTGGACAATTAACAATCAATGTCAGAAGTGGGTGTACAAACAAAGACTATTCCAAAAGATAAATTTGCTTAAAAATAAAAATTAATTTTTGAGAGTGAATCCAACTAAAACAAACAAGACTAAGTAGTAGTTTTCACATATATATGATAAAGTATAAAATTTATATATAAAAAAAGGATGGTGTTGCATCAAGAGGTACGGGATTTCCAATTCAAGGGTGTGATTGCAAGGATTCCGAACTTTAGAGAGTGAGAGAGAGACTTTGCTAAGGGAATTAGGTAATAGATTCTTCCATTAAAGTGAAGAGGAAGTCAAAGAGGGCGTTGTACTTTAGGCCTACTTTGTAGACTTTTTATATGATTGGGCCTCAAGCAGGCCTTTCTAGGGGCCTCAAGAACCTTTAATCAAATTTTTCTAAGGGCCGAGAATATAATGGGACCCTTCGCGGCCTAGCCCTAGTTACACTATCAATGCTCAATTTTGAATTGCAGAGTGTACAATGGAGCCCCAGGCGCCCACCTTTAATGCCCTAACCCTAAGGCCGGTCCTAGTTATTTTGCATTGTAGAGTGTTTTTTAACATGAATTATTGCTAGTACTATAAAATCTGCATTTAAACTTCACAGAAACACAGGGAAATCCAAACACAGAGAAAAACACTATTAAAAACTAATGCAAATACTGAATAAAAGAAATAAGAACCTCTGATTACCAAAAACCGAAAAAAAAAAAAAAGGAGAGTAAAGCATGCCAATTTCACTCTGATTACTACTGGGGTTGACATGATGAAAATATGTGCAACTCTAAATCAAGCAGGACATGCCCAAAGGCACCTATAATTTTACATGCCTTAAAAACTAGCATATAATCCCCTATGGTTTGCAATTGAAATGCTATAACTACCGACTTTAACAATTTCTGTATAGAAATACAATTATACACTTCATCTTTTTTTTTTTTTTAATTCTGTAGTGTCTTTCTTAAAACTTAACAAAACTTTACAAATCTATTTAATACATGGGTAGCATATTAAGGGAGAGAGATTGATTTTTTTTGGAGAGGGGAAAGCAAGAAAGAAACATGATATGTGCAAGGGCATAGCAGTCATTGTGACATATTATTCGATTTAAAAATTGAATTTTGAGCTTTGACTGTTAATTTTAACTGAATTTCTCACAATTTCAGTTGGGTCCAAAAACATAGGAGGTTGTGCAGGTTTTGAAGTATTACAAGGTCAAACTAAGCATAGGTAATTTATAATCTCTATCAAAAATTACCTGATTTTAAAGCAGGATGGCATGGAAAAGGTACAAGAAGTTCAGCATTGCCACGGCTGCGACAACGAGATAGTTGGAGTAGCTGCTACTAAAACTTGTTTGTCATGTATGGCAGATTTTAGCACATTGTATTGTTGGTTGACAGAATCAAACAGGGCCTGTGAGTACACCACCTTAGCCTGCATTAGGAACACCCTCTATTAGAATGATTGATATAGAACTTATATATGCCACTGACCACTCATTCTCAATGAATAGGTAAATAATGAAGCAAGTTCACAAATTTGTCCCTAAACCCTAAACCACGTTCCAGAGTAATAGAATCAAAGGCTCTAGAACAACTAAATGTTTGGCAACCAAGTCCAACTCTACAATGTTTGATGCAGCTGCAACTACAATGACTTGGTAATGGGCAACACAAGGGAACCCAAGGAAGGCTTGGAATTCGGAATTTGTTTTACTACATTAACTTACTTCTCTGGTCCTACATCGCCTGGGCACCAATGTCCAGTTCAATGGATTGGCTGCACCACATCAATGGAACAACTCTAGAAACAGGTGATGAGCAAAGGAAGAACACCCTTCTCATTAAGTAAGATCCACTGACCAATAATTATGTTCAAGATTTGATCAAGGAAACAGTAAACAAAAAAGGGTTCTGCCAAATTAAATTTGTGAAAATAACATTTCTACGTTGTTACTGATTAGTAACTACAAAAGAACTAATAAAGAACTGAAATTGAATGGTAAACCTGGTACCTTTACCTGTTCCATAATCACTTGTCAAATTAATTGCTTTTTTTTTTTCATTCTCTATGACTCCTTATATGTGTCCAGCAACCTTCTTCCCAGTCTCCACTCAGGGAAAGCAAAATAACACAACCCAAAATGATAAATGAAGTTCAAGAAAGACTCCATTAGATCGAACGGACAGATGAATAGCATATTTTGTATATAACAAACCTCTTCAGCATCTCCACAAGCAGCAGCAATTTCATGGAAACTGATTTTCTGTGCCACTGATAATCCAACCCCATGAAAGGAGATCAGTCTTTTTTCTCCAATTTCTTTCTCAACCTGTGAACAGACATTGCTGTCAGAGAAGAAATAGACAATGTCATAAGGGATACACAAAGGACAAATCTGTAGTAAGAACATACCTGGGGTGGAGGGGGCATAATGTCATAGCACAATATTGCTAAAGGATATATATGACCAGGTACACCAGCATTTTCCATAATCCTTCTCATGTTGTCCAATGAAGAAGCATCAAAGGGTGCCTAAACCTTTTATATTAGTATGAAAAGAACATGATTGAATTACAACAATAGGAAAAGGCTGGTCTAAATTGAATCACAGTGGCAAAAACAAAGACACAGGGTTTTGGTAAGTCAGACCATGAGAACAAGAGAAACACCCTACAAAGAAAAGAACATTCTGCACCTCACCCTCTCTACTCTCTCCGCATGTGGGCAGGGTGCTGGTAGGGTGGGTGTGGGTGATGTCACAGGCTTATTACACCCAACTCTGATAATAATTATGCCACCATGGACACAAATTGAAAACTCTTGAGAAGCCATCAAATTGATCAAAAAAGAGAGATCAATTATCTTTTTAATTAGGTGGGAATCACCTGTTTGTGAGGTAGATGTACTATATTTGTTGTAATTGTGAGGATGTATATGTTCTTTCAATCATAAAAAAAAGCCTCTTGGGCAAGCGTGTAACAGCATGTGTCTATAACAATCCCAATCCTGTGTCCACAGTTTGTCATGTTTGATAAATATACTTCGCATCTTTCTTTTTTCCCAAAGGTAAATGAGGAAAAAATCATACCGGATACAAATCCTTTGTGACGGTGTCTGGGCGATCCCTTCCACCACTTGGTGCAATCCTTATTATTTTCGATCCACCCCTGGGCACGAAGTGCAAATAGGTTCATTAAAATAATTTGCAGATTATGCATTTTCAGAAAACAAACCAACTAATTGATTGCCATAGAAACACGGAGTAAAGTAAACATTTACCAGAAAAGAGGAAAAGAGATAATTGAAAACATGTAAGCTCAAATATTTTCTTGGAACTATGCATCAAAATTCACAATTTGACATAGTGCAGCTTAATTTATTTGGCTAGTCACAAAAGCAAGAATTTGGGAACGAGGCTCCCTACCTAGAAGGGCAAAACATATCCCAATTAACCAAGTAACCATTTCAGGAATCATCCATACCCAAATACTCAAAAATCTCAGTTTTATTCTCGCAATCTTCAGAAATATGCAATGATAGAAAGGGTAGGAACATTGACCAAAAATGATAAGCCGAGAACATTTCTCCATGCCAAGAAATATGCCTCCATTTCCAGTCAAGTGTTGCTGATTTTCACCTTTATGGAAGACAGAATGCACCTCCTCCTTTGCCTTCTAAGGGAAGACAAATGTATTTCATGATCCAATCAACACTTTCACACTGAAAGGAATCTGTTGCCACATGCAATTCGCTATTTTTGGGTTGATTCTCACTGGAGTACTGGTTCTGGTTCGCTTCAGGCCCCCTTTTACCACATGCAATTTGGTATTTTTGGGTTGATTCTCAATGGAGTCCTTGTTCAAGTTCACTTCAGAGCATCAAATGCTCATCATACATTTCAAACAATAACCTGGACATTAAAAGTTCTTCTCTTCATTCTCGAAGTTGAGTAATGGTCCCGCCTGCAAATGGAATTTAACACTCAAAAGTTCACACTCTACCAACCTAAGACATCATTTACTAAATGCAACACATCCACCTCAGAAATGAGTAAAATGGGTGTTGTTGCCTCTCCCAATGGAAACCATGACCACCATTATAATCCCCATACCAGAACAACAATCTAGTGAATAATCAGCGACCCTTAATCTTTCATAACCCACTTTAATCACCACTCACTACAACTTGAATACCCACAGTTATTCCATCTTCTCACCCTATAATCTTAGTAGGGAGCCCTTATAAAACTACTCATGATATCAATGTCTGCCCCAGAGCATCCTGCATAAAAATTAATATAATTTGTGCACCTTCACAATAAAATGCTGAATTTGTTCTTATAGCTAATGATCAAAGGAAAGACTGGAAGGAGATTCAAGAGTAAAGTATGGAGAAGGAATATGATCATTTTCATGATCCCTCTCCAGAGATTCTTGCATCCCTTGAGGTGTTGGGGCAAGAAAGGATGGATTCGTTCATGCACTTCCAACCTTTAAAGTGGTTGCTTGCAAAGATTTTAAGTACTTCAAAAAAGAAACTCAACAGTAAGCAATACACACATCAATTGAAGAATAGCAGTGATATCTGTACCTCAAAAGCATAACCATCTCCTTTAAACTTCTCATATTTGCCCTTTTTTTCATCTCAGCAAGCTCCGGAACATCATACATGTGATTTTTTGAATAAACGCATAAGAGATTCCTAAGATTGTAAGAAGTTGGACTCACGAAAACTTTATTAAGAAGAAATAGGGAATTATAGGATACATGCATTTGTACAGAAGATCAAGAAACTTTATGAGCACCGTCCCATGCTGAAAGGCTTGCAAAGAGGATCTGTTATAATTCTATCTCCAGCCACATAGATCTGCATGACAGCATTTAAATCTTGGTGAAGCAGTCAATTTCAAAGTTACAAGAACTATAACAAGAGCAGCTTAAGGGAAAAAATATCATTGTCACCATGTTCTCAGCAATGTGTGGATTTTTTGCTTCAAGCAGCAATGCAATAACAGCTGGATCTGCTTCAGTTTGATGATTGGAGAACAAAATGACATTGTCACCCTGAATTTAATGGTATAGCAGAGCGAAAACCATGAACATCAAGAACAAACATGAAAGCCATGTGATAGAGCACCACTTTAATCTAAACAGAAGTGATGAATGTCTAATTATGCAGATGATCCCTAACTCCAACTTCTTTTAAGGTAAGTAGCACTCGTAAATTTTTCCTCTTTGGTCCATGATCACTAATAGAAATAAGCTTCAAGTTAATAAGGAAACTGGTAATGATGTATAACATATTACCTCACAGGGAACTCCCACCAGCCAGATTCGCTCAATCAATGATGCTGAATTAGCAGTAATAATTCTACCTACCAACCAAGTTTTTCCAGCACATATAGTCCAGTATTATTCATTGGTCGCACTCTGTATTAAGTTATAGTATTTACTGATTTTAGTCGATATATCATTCCAAAACCCTTTCCATGTACCATTTTTGGTAGATCGTGTTTTTTTTTACAGACAAGTGAGTCAATTCTGGTGGGCAGGGGGTCAAGATAAATGTAAAGGGAGTATCAACTTGGAGCCAAAAGCAGGAGAGAGAGAGAGAGAGAGAGAGCACTTCACAACTTTTCTGTATTGGACAATTTAGACAACTGCAGTATTGTGAATTCGTGTTGTAATATGGCTTAATTCAATGGGTCACCACACATGTACAAGCAATGTACACATGGGTTAAACTACTGTTTAAATTTTACATGTTCCATTTGGGATTAAATACGCAACCATACTTGGTTGTATACTGATATGATGTTATCCTTACTGGCTTCATAAATTCCCCAAAACACCATATCGTCAAACTTGTTGCTCTATCTTCCGTGTTTATGCATATGACTATATTAGCACCACTAATTCTTAATGGCATAAAAAATGTAGGTTGCTTCTTCTCAAATAAAAAGAAATATGATGAGATACTAAAATAAATGAGCAGGGAGAAAAAGCAGATCAATGCAGGTGGGATGACAAGTCGATCTAGTTTTTGCAATAAGAAAAGGAATTAACAAGCCTTATGGTTAATATCGGCATCAGTTTTATGCTAGTAGTACTTAGTCATGAATTAAGCTAAACAGAAGCATCTAAACTTCCAAAGTTATCAAAGTCATAGTGGAAACTGTGGAAAGTTTCTACCAGAAATGGCAATAGTTTTGCATGACAAGAAACCAATGATTTAGTATATGAAAGGAAAAGTGATCATTTGTCAAAGAAAAAAGATGAAAGGTTAAAGAGAAAAAATGAAATTATTTTATATGTTTACACTAAGAACTCTCACATAAATAAAACATCTATTGATGAAGCATGGCAGTAGGGTTTTGCACTACCAATGTAGAGTTTCCAAATTAGAAAATATTTTAGTGTAAGATTTCCAAATTCACTTTGACCCGTTCATCACAGCAAAACTGCAGGGTAAAAACTCAAGAATCTCATGATGTTGTTGCACAAAAATAGTGAGGAGGAAATAGTATCTTCAAATCCACAACCAATNATCCGTTCATCACAGCAAAACTGCTGGGTAAAAACTCAAGAATCTCATGATGTTGTTGCACAAAAATAGTGAGGAAGGAAATAGTATCTTCAAATCCACAACCAATGGTACGTGGAAAACCGGAAGGAGGGAAGACAGGGGGTTATGGACCAGCATGAGTCACAGCTAGTATTGACAAAGAACTGTAGCATAAGAACACCAAATGTAAATAAATGAAATACAAATATTAGGCACCTGCTGAAGCTTCTCTTCCATTTCACGGAAAAGGGAGATGTTGCCAACATATGAACTCCTGAAGATTGGAACGACCAAGGTTACAGGCAACAATGAATACCTCAATTCGCAACATCGTACGAGAGTAATAATATATCATTCCAATTAACCATATGATTATTAGCTAGTCAAAGAGTATACACCTGATTTTCCCAGTCTACCTCCTTGCACACCAGATAGTGACCCTTTCCTGTTAACTCAAATATTCTAAATGTTAACCAGGGACCGCTAGTTGGGCGGGAAAAAAACCTGGGCAAAACTGGAAATCCAATGGTCTGCAGCCATTTGGACTGTTTGGGTTGGGTTCAGTTGGCTGAAAAATCTCAACTTGACCCGAATTTTAGTCTACATTGACTGAAGTACAATGAAATCCAAACCTAACAAAAAGTACATACATCCCTACATAGATTATCACAGGAAACGCTATGTACATTTAACCACCCCAAAACTCGGAGTATCGAGAGCCTCCTAGATTGGGCTGTCATATATAAGGCATATAGTTTTCCAACGACTTTTGTCTTTCTTGCAGCATTCCTAGTTCCCATTAAGCTATACCTCATTCTCAAAGTCTCAGTCACATTGTTTCTACAAGTCTATGCCTCCATTACCCCCACAGCACCATATTCTCCCTTTCTCACCCCCCCCCCCNTTTTTGTTTGTTGTTTTTCTTATACTAAGAAGCTTGTAGGTTCTATGCCAACCATACGTAGCTTAAATTATGATTGCCATAATGCCTTAGCTATTTACCGATTTCCAAGAAGCCTTTGGTTGAATATTCACACCTATCCTCCTTCTACAATTCCTACGAGGCTACAACTGAAAACACATATTGACTTAACACTTCTTAGAGCTTGTCACACACCAACATAATAACACCTCCTAAACTAATATGTGAGCATTATGGCTAGGATTGGGGAGAATTTGGCTAGGATCAATAAAATCGATTTTTCAATGGTGCACTTGTTGTCTTTGAATTTGTCTTTCTATTATCTGTTCAAGTGCAAGTAGGATTCACGTACGGATGACTATTAGAGCTTGTCCAACACGATAAAACAATACATTTCAAACTAATATATGAGTCATGCAGGCCTTGGGTACTTGTTGTTTGTTATCTTATAAGAGTGTTGCCATGGAAGATAACTAAGTGGAAAGGGTGACCTTGAAGAATATAACTAAGAGGAAAGTCAACCCTACACTCTGGTCCGTACCAATGCTAGAGTGCTAAAGCATGTGGAGCAAACAATATTAGAGATGGATCAATGGCTTCTAAATAAAAAAACTAAAACATTGATTGGGGAAACCTTGACTGAAACTTCCGACCCTTTAGGTGGCAAAAGGGTGAGGTAAGGAGTAGTATGAAAGCAGCTCATTCATCGATAAACCTCTCCTTATTCATTCAATAGGCTAAGGCTCCCATTCAATGTGCGAGATCAAAGTTTTGTATGGTGAAGTAGCGATTGAATCATCCACTTTAGTTAGTCAATTGATTTTGAGCTAGATGTTTTAACAACACTGATACAACAACTAGGTTGTTCGATGTATTTTGTTGGTTTGTTATCCAAAGTTACTTCTTCATTGATGCTGGAAATTTGAAGGATTTTCATTTATTTACCATGAAGAAAATAACGAGATGAGATAAAGCACAATTCACTGCACCAGTATCACTCCGTGGAGGAGTGACAGTGAAACAATATGGCATGGCAAAACCTAACAGGCGACAAATTAGTAGATCAAAAAAAAAAAAAGTACAATCCTATAAGCTAGAAAAAAAAATGGCCACCAAGAATTACTTGTTAGTTGTTACACCAATATAGGTTTTCAATTCTGGATATTAGCTCCATTATTAATTAATTGTTTACAGGACATGATATTTTACCACTACTAATATAGTAAAACAATCTGATTTCTAACTAGCATGATAATAAAATTAAAAATGAATCTTTCATTAGGTATGTCCAAATAAGAAAATGAAGGAAGGCATTAAAACCCAAAAAGAATGTTTCCTAAGAATAAAGACCTAGCCTCGGGCCTAACAATTAAAGCATAGGACCCAATCAGTACACAATAGCTAAGAAAGATGCATTACAGCGTGAGTCAAAGCATTAATTTACTGCATCTCAATAACTATATGGCACAAGCTTTACACCAGACCTAAGACAGTAAAATACAGTACGAGTGCAAGGTAATTAATTTACTGCATTACGATAATTCTGGTACAACTCCTCCATCCCCTGCGCAACATTTAATGGTAGCCTTCCAGTTGCTGATTCTTTTCTTATGCCAAAAAGCAGATCTGTAAAATTAGATTTCAGTAAGATGGGAAACCAAATGCTGTAGACTTAATTTCCATGAGAGAAATCTTGCAATCAAACAAAGAATGACACAAGTCAACAACAATATTTAGAGGAGTTCACGCGGATAAGATCTTGGTCAAATAATAACAATTTTTTGTTGAGAAAGTTCATCATCAACTTTGAAAACTACCACCAACCACACAACCAGGTAAGCGAACGTAAATCCTAACTGAAAGGAATGTAATATGACAAGTACAACTAACGTGATTCTATGTAGTCTAGAAAACTTGCAAAATGTCATGCAGACCGAAGATATACACAAAAGGCCAAAGAAAATTTAGCACCAGAAAGAGATTCATCGAGCTTACAACAAAACTACCATAGGATATAAACTTCAAAAGGCAAAAAAAATTGTAAGCATCATCATTCGTTAATGGAGGAACCAGTATACATGTTTAACTATACTCACGACCTGTGGATTGAATTCAAGGATTTTAGACCTGACGCAATTGATGCATCAACAATCTTTTAGAGCACTTTGTTCACACAGACACAGAGAGAGATTTGCAGCATAGAACTGACAACTCGGATTTCATGTTAATTCCCTCAAGATCCAAGTAAAAGACATCAAAAGCAAGTACACTTGTATTGTCAGTGCAGTATCCCTAAGAAGTTGATTGACCAAGGAAATCAATAGAGGAAACAAACCGAAACCTAAAAGAGCAACAATATATCAATTGGATAAGGATACAAAACTTTTGCAACTTCAGTTTCATACCCAGTTAAGTAGACTAATGACAAGTCTTAAAAAGTAGCATTGGTAAACCAATGACATCCATGGATGGTAGATTGCTTTGAAAACTGATCCAAAATAATTAAAAAAACTGAAGCCGATTAATGACAGAAACTAGCAAGTTAAGCATGCATATCTGTTACTCGAATCACCAAATATAACATTCCCCTCACTCTCCACAGTCCAGACGGCATCTGGAGGAACAATAATTCATGATTGTCCCCCACTATACCCAACCAAAAAAAAAATGCAAACAACATGCTCGTCAGAATACCATTCACTCAACAAATCAGATTGGACCAATTTCCCCAACTTGGATTGAACAGCAAAATGTCATATTTTTCAATTTTAATATTTAGACTTTTTGTACTTATTTGGAACCTAAATATACTCATCATTCTTATATTTTGATTTAAGACGCAAATGGAGACGTTAAATGTAAAATAAAACTAATTGGACGATTGTGGAGTTTCAACATTGCTTCATAATCTGGGCATAACTCTCTCATCCGAGCTCCGATTGAGATGATTCAAGATACTATGGAATGCCAAAGAAAATCTCTACAACTTTCATGTTTTGAGTTTTAAGAGATATTGACCGCATCGAGGGAAGTGTTGAAGGCAAAAGAATAAATATGGAGTATTATTGTGCAATTTCTAATTTTTAGGCAGTTTGATCTATGGAGTTTCAATTGAGGTTTGGATAGCGTTAGAGTTTCAGACTGAGAAAGTATTCTTCTTGATTGGAGTTGGATTCCTTTCCGAACTAGTAAACTTCGGTGGGTCATAACTTGAGTTTACGAAATCCAAATCAGGTGATTCAAAAGCCTAAATTTATCTACTCATTCAGGGCTACAACTTTTATGAAGAGCTCAAATCAAGATTCAGTCGTTATCTAATAGAAAAACATATCACAAGTTCCAGTACGATTTCTGTCAAAAATTTTTGATAAGGAATACCTATAATGTGGGGGTTTGAGTTGTACACGTTTTGAGAGTGTGATATGTTTTCTATATTTATTTAAGGAGAGAGAAAGAAAGAAAAATCAACATAATATAGAGGTTGTTATACCCCTTCTTCTCTAACTCTTTCTTCTAGTTTTCATGAAGACCATGTGTGGCTAAACTATAATACTTGATCTAAGGAAACGGAAGCTTCAGAANCCATGTGTGGCTATACTATAATACTTGATCTAAGGTGAAAGTAGCCTCGGAATCAATAAAACTGTGAGATCTACTTTATTTTTTATAGTTCAATTTATGTTTTGCATATTGGATGTTTTGTTGTACCTATTTTTATGATTGCATCGTTTAATTACTAGGAGGTCTACTAGTTTATTATTCGTTGTAATCTACTGCTGGGTTAGATATCAAATCCGTAATT